AAGTTCACCAAGTGCACCAACAGGTTGGCACAGTAGGTTACGCCCTCACGGTGTAGTTTAAAGGGATAGAGGACGTAGTTAGCGCTAACCGCAATCTTCACCTTCGCCCGGAGTCTCGAAGACTACACAGGATCCGGCGTAGGTTGCTTTCTTCAATGCAAGCTGAAATACCGCCTACATTTGTCTTAAGTGACAGTAGCCTTTTGCGCTGGTATTACTGTACAATCTACCCTAAACTCACCCTTAGTAGGTATGAAGACAGGCCCAATGAGGCCGAGACTGATACGGTTATTTCTGTTGATATTACTACTGAATATCAACGCAGCCGAGTCTTAATAGTATTGGTACTATTTTTGACGCTGACGTTTGTCAGAAGTGACGCTGATTTGAAAATCAATGCTGGGCTTATGTCTCCTTTATCCTCAGTAAAGTATGGGGAATTTCGAGTCGATACACGTTTGAGACCCTCAGAATATCAGGGTTTGCCATGTTTTTCGTCCTCTCAACTCAATCCTCCCAGTCTGTGTCCTTTTCAACTAGCAGCGAAAAAGCATATAGCCCGATAGACTCCACGCCGGGAAGCATGACAATTTTTGTAAATTTAGCCTGCTTAAACAGTTAATGCACCTCCCTATATGCTTCTGTGCTCACTCTACTACCGGAAGGTACCCCTTCGACTAAATTCCGCCACAGCAGTTCAACATTCCCTTTGTATCTGCGACTCCAACGGGGAACTATGTAATCTAACTCCATGCACCCTGATTTAATCTACCATTTGAATCCGTGTGTTGTTTGTCACAACTACGCCTAATTTGCACTCACTCATGGTTGTTGTTCCAACCTACCGTCACCGCGTCAACATACCTTTAGGGCTAAGGCTCAGCTGGTCAGTTATCTCCGACTGTCGATTCCACCCGTCACCCAAATCACAGTAGCGGGGATTGCCAACGCCCACTATGACTGCGAACTAGCATTATATTTCACTAGAAGTGCAGATAGGCATGGCTTTGTCGTTTCGTCCTTAATTTGCCATTTTTTAAATCTTCGTTTCATGTACATATGACCCATATCACCATCGCCGCCGTATATCCTTTTTTCCCCGTCCATGCTGTCTCGCGCAATTATTACCAGCCTCTCCCCTCCCCCACATCCTCCAGATCGGCCTCTACGCACTGGGTCTGTACAACTCGTTACATCCCTCCTGGCAGAGTCGGACCTACTCGCGTCACGTGACCTGGGTCAGTCAGCAGGTCTTTGAGATCGGTCTTCCCGCGGCCTTTGTGCTCTATCACTCCTGGCGTAACCACCTGAATGCCGCCGAGCTGGCTGCTGTGGCCTTCCAACTCTCTCGAGAGCGTGACCGCACGGTACGCTGCTACGTTGTGCAACGACACCGCCCTCGGTGTCCGTTTACCGGTTCTCTGCTGGTCCTATAATCTCGCCTATGTTGTACCCTTTAATTTCTAGCACGCATAAAGTCTTAATGCTTACTATCATCAACCATATCATTTAGCATATTCAGAGTAAATGATAGAAGAACCTAGAAATTCAATTTTTAAACGGTACAGGAATGCATAAAGCGTAGTGACTATTCAAAAATCCTTGCAGGCCGCTTTGTTATGCAACGAGGCATAAGCATGAACTGCTGGGAAGGAGAGGCGTTTGTGAAATAGCAGCGTGGAACACGTTCACTGCATTCCCATCATAAAAATGTTCACCCTAGCCAACTTTGATGTAAATATAAGGTCTGCGTATGTCTCAGGCTGATCTTCTATTACCTATGATTAAGGAT